CTAGGACCTCCAGAACTATGTTGAATAAAAGTGGGGAGAGTGTCTTCCTTGTCTTGTTCCCAATCTTAAAGGAAAAGCTTTCAGCTTCTGGCTGTTATGTATAATGTTGGCTATGGGTTTGTCCTATATGGCCTTTATTACATTGAGGTACTTGCCTTCTATACCCATTTTGTTGAGAATTTTTATCATGAATGGATGTTGAATTTTGTCAAATGCTTTTTCAGCATCTACGGAGTTGATCATGTGGTTTTGTCCTTCTTTTTGTTGATGTGATGGATGATGTTGATGGATTTTTTAATGTTGTACTATCCTTGCATCCCTGGAATAAATCCTACTTTATCATAATGAATGATCTTTTTTATGTATTTTTGAATTCGGTTTGCTAATATTTTGTTGAGTATTTTTGCATCTATGTTCATTGGGGATATTGGTCTGTAATTTTCTTTTTTGGTGGGGTCTTTGCCTGGTTTTGGTATTAGAGTGATGTTGACCTCATGGAATCAGTTTGGGAGTATTCCCTTCTCTTCTACTTTTTGGAAAACTTTAATGAAGATGGGTATTAGGTCTTCACTCAGTGTTTGATAAAATTCATTAGTGAAACCACCTGGTCCAGGAGTTTTGTTCTTATGTAGTTTTTTGATTACCAGTTCAATTTCCATGCTGGTAATTGGTTTATTCAGGTTTTCTATTTTTTTCCTGGTTCTGCCTTGAAAGGCTGTGTTTTTCTAGAAAGTTATCCATTTCTTCTAGGTTATCCAGTTTATTATCATATAATTTTTCATAGTTTTCTCTCATAATTCTTTCTATATCTGTGCTGTCAGTAGTGATTTTTCTGTTCTCATTTCTGATTATGTTTATGTGTGTATCTCTCTTCTTTTGATAAGTCTGGCTAGTGGTTTATCTATTTTGTTTATTTTCTCAAAGAAGCACCTCTGGCTTTCATTGATTCTTTTGTTTAATTCTTCTCAATTTTATTTATTTATGCACTAATCTTTATTATGTCCTTCTTTCTACTGACTTTGGGCCTCATTTGTTCTTTTTCTAGTTTTGTTAACTGTGTTTTTAGACTGTTCATATGGGATTGTTCTTTTTCCCTGAGGTATACCTGTACTGCAATATACTTGCCTCTTAGCATGACCTTCACTGCATCCCACAGACTTTCCAGTGTTGAATTATTTTTGTCATTTGTGTTCATATATTGCTTGATCTGTTTTTATTTGGTCATTGATCCATTGATTATTTAGGAGCATGTTATTAAGCCTCCATGTGTTTGTGGGCTTTTCTTTTTTCTTTGGGTAATTTATTTCTAGACTCTTTGGTCTGAGAAGCTTTTAGGTACAATTTCAATCTTTTTGAATTTACTGAGGCTCTTTTTGTGGCCTAGTATATGATCTATTCTTGAAAATGTTCCATGTGCACTTGAGAAGAATGTGTATTCTGTTGCTTTTGGATGGAATGTTCCGTAGATGTCCATTATGTCCATCTGTTCTAATATGTTGTTCAGTGCCTCTGTCTCCTTACTTATTTTCTATCTGGTTGATCTGTCTTTTGAAGTGGGTCATGTGTTGAAGTCTCCTAAAATGAATGCATTGCATTCTATTTCCCCCTTTAAGTCTGTTAGTATTTGTTTCACATATGTAGGTGACCCTGTATTGGGTGCATAGATATTTATAATAGTTATATCCTCTTGTTGGACTGACCCCTTTATCATTATGTAATGTCTTTCTTTGTGTCTTGTTACTTTCTCTGTTTTAAAGTCTATTTTGCCTGATACAAGTACTGCAACTTCTGCCTTTTTCTCCCTATTAGTCACATCATATATGTTTTTCTATCCCTTTACTTTCAGTCTGTGTATGTCCTTGGGTTTGAAGTAAGTCTCGTGTAGGCAGCATATAGATGGATCTTGCTTTTTATTCATTCAGTGACTCTATGTCTTTTGACTGGTGCATTGAGACAATTTACATTTTTGGGTGATTATTGATAGGTATGTTCTTATTGCCATTGCAGGCTTTAGAGTCATGGTTACCAAAGGTTCAAGGGTAATTAGTATCTAAGAGTCTAATTTAGCTCACTTATTATGTTATTAAAAACATAACCTAAAGATTCTTTTCTTTCCTCCTTTTTCTTTCTCCTCCATTCTTCATATATTAGGTATCATATTCTGTACTCTTTGTCTATCCCTTGATTGACTTTGGGGGTAGTTGATTTGTTTTTGCATCTTCTTAGTAATTAATTGTTCTTTCTTTGCTGTGGTTTTATTTCTCCTAGTGACAGCTATTTAGCCTTAGGAATACTTCCATCTATAGCAGTCCCTCCAAAATGCACTCTAGAGATGGTTTGTGGGATGTAAATTCTCTCAACTTTTGCTTATTTGGAAATTGTTTAATTTCTCCAAATTTAAATGATAATCTTGCCTGATAGAATATTCTTGGTTCATGGCCCTTCTGCTTCATTCATTAAGTATATCATTCCACTCCCTTCTGGCCTGTAAGGTTTCTATTGAGAAGTCTGATGATAGCCTGGTGTGTTTCCTTTGTATGTGATCTTTTTCTCTCTCTAGCTGCTTTTAAAAATCTCTCCTCCTTGGTCATAGCCATTTTCATATGTCTTAGTGTTGTCTTCCTTGGGTCCCTTGTGTTGGGAGATTTGTGCCCCTCCATGGCTTGAGAGACTATCTCCTCTCCCAGATTGGGGAAGTTTTCAGCAATTACCTGTTCAAAGACATTTTCTATCCCTTTTCCTCTTTCTTCTTATGTTATCCCTATATTGGTATATTGCTCCATTTTGATTGGTCACACAGTTCTCTCAATATTCTTTCATTTTTAGAGATCTTTTTTTCTCTCTGTGCACTTCCTCACTTTTTAAATGCTAAAATGAAAAAATTATGTGAGTTTGGTAACAGTCACAGTCTTGTTCTTTGTTGATTTATTTGATCTGACTCACTCTAGTAACAAACTTAAACCCTGATTTTCATCATAGGTTCATGTCTCTAGAAAGAATATCAAAATGTTATTCAATCATGCCATGTCCACAAAGTGGCCACAACATGTCCAGAAATGATGCCTGGCTGACCGCCTTTTAGGTGTTACCAGTTATAACATCTTTACAGTTTATGGTTGCAACAAACAGAATTTGGATTTAACCAATTCTGATGCTAAGTTATAAGACAGACAATAGATAACCATGCTGTATCACAATGCAGCATCACCACCTTCATGATGAAAACATTATTTCAACTGAGGTGTCTATTTAGAGGTAATGTAATGAGTTCTAAGATGAAGCAAATTAATCTAAGATGAAGCATGGCTCTTTTGAAAAGGGGTGTGCAAGGTGGCATCACCGTTCAGAGTCACCAGCCCATCCTGCAGTGGTCATTTCTACAGCCAGGGTAAGCTTGAGTTCACTTACCGCTCCTTTAAATCCCTCAGTCCGAGCTATAAGGATAGTTATAAAGGTGCCGGTGTGTAGATTAGTCCATGTGCTAGAGGCACCTCTGGGGATGGAAGAATCAGAAGGATAGTTGACTATATATTGATAAGAAGCAGAAGGCTGTAAGGGAACTTTATTTCTTATGTACTATGGGTATATACTCAATGAAACAGTTTTTTTTTTTTATTCTGATCCTTTATTACACTATAAAAATACCTTTTGAAATACTGAGCTTTTTAAGAAATTCTTGGAGCTTTTTTCCTAATCCTTAATTATAATATTAAATGTCTTTTGAAATATTGAGATTCAAGGCTTTGGAATTGTTTTAAAAGCCTTCTTAAAACCCATGTATGCCTGTCAGAGCAGTTTGAACCAATGCTGTGGGTGTGCCCAGCACACCAGGGCTTATTCATAGGCTCTCCAGGGCTGTTCTGAAGTAGAAGTGATAGTGGAAAACAGTTTGTTACCTTCAGCTATTTCTCAGGCACAAGTGAGGCAGCGTATTAGAAAGCACATCTCTAGCATCTTCCTCTTCTATCCATGTTCCTTCCTCCCTTCCTTGGTGTGTGCATGTCTTTGCCCTCCCATCTCCCCATGTGGCATCTGAGGCCCTTGCTTCCTGAGCCTTTCCAGAATCTTCTGTGCTCTGGTTACTGAGACTTAGAAGTCTGTCTCTATCTCATGGATGGAGATAGCTGTGCTCATTGCTCTCCCACATGGGTATCTGGAGCATGTCTCCAGTGCATATGTTTGGGACATCCTGTGGGAGACCCAGTAGGTGCCTTCCCAGTAAGGGTTGGTAAGGCCCAGAGCCACTGTGCTGCTGCTTTCTCCCACTCCAGCACGCAACGTTATGCCTGGGGTTCTTGGCTATTTGCAGTGTAGCAATTACCTACCTCAAATTGCTCTCCCATTCACATGCCTGCTGTGCTGTGTCCTGCTCTCCTTTCACCTCTCTTTCTTCCCCATATCCACTCACACCAACATACCATTTTCCTCCACCAGCATATAAACACCTTCCCCTTGAAATTTTGGAAATAAAATAAAAGCAAATATAATTATCTGCAATGATATGAAGTGGTAGATAGATGCCATACAATGGAATGCAAAGAAAAGGAACTTACATGTACCAAAATGATGCAAGTGGGATAGAATCTAATGAGTAAAGAAAGAAACCATAACTAGTAGGCATTTCAATTGCAGTTACATGGGAATTTGATATCTACTGAGTAGAAAGAAAACAAGAGACAGCAATACCTAATTAAAGATAAAGTCCCACAGAAGAAATTTAGAGCGAGGGTGGTTTCTAGCTGGTAGTCTTGAGAAAGGTTAACACTAATTAGAAGCAGAGTGTGCACTGGGAGATTTTCACCATGCCCCTGCAGTATGAAGCACACCAAGAATGCAGTTTCCTGGTGGCTGCTCTGGTCGCGGCCTCCCCTGCTGTGAGTCCTGCCAAGGTTCTAGCTGTCCCCTCCCAAGCTTTCAGTTCAACTCCTCTCCACATTCATTTAATATTTCATTGTTCTCTTGAAAAAAGGGGAAGCTGTATCTGTTTGTGCACATTCCTTTTAATCGATTTGTTATGGCAATTATTTTTTACTCCAGAGGATGCTAAGGAGATTGCTGCTTCCCTGAAAGGGAGTGTTCTAGAAGAATGTGTAATGCAACTGTCATCTCACTGTGCCACTAGTTGAATGTTCCATGTTTGTGAGAAGCTAGGGCTCTGCTAGCCTTGGATTGACTTCTAAGACCTGTTTTAAGACCAGGCAAGCCTCCCTGCCTAATGTACCAAGTGTCAGGCCTGTTGCTAATGATTGAATAGCAAGTTAGGAAAAAGTATCTGGCTACAGATTTCTCTCAAGAGAAGGTCCTGTGACAAGTCTAGTGTTCATGACCCTGGTCTAGTGACTCCCCGCCATTCTCAACCAAAAATCACACAGAGCACTAACTCTCCATCCCTATCTTATGAATAGCCAATGAACCATTTGTCACAGTATGTTTAATGTTTTCTGGAAGATTTGGAAAAGATTGTTGCAAGTAATATTGATTAATTTTACATTGTTGTACTTTGGAAATTTCATGGATCCAATATGATAATAATATGCAAAATAGAAGCCATTGATTAACTGAAAAATATCAGATAGAACTATCCTAAATAGAACAACCTAGAAAATGTTTCTTCCTTCTTCCTTTCCTCCCTCCCTCACTTCCTTACTTTTTCTTTCTTTCTTTTGTATTTCATTAATCAAAATCATCCATCTACTCATAAATATTGTGTATATCAGGTGAGGGGCACTGTTTAGGTACTAGAGACAAAACAGGAAGCAAAACAGACTGGGAAACTAAGGGGTAATCCTGGCCCAAATCTGTGGAAGAGAATTCCAGGGAGAGGAAACAGAAAACGCAACGGCTCCAGGAGGTCAGTGGGTGCCTGGCAGCTACAAGGAAGCTGACACCCATGGCCACTGGGGCAAAAGAATAGGGCGAGAGGGGCCACAGTAGGACCCTGGTTTTTATTCCAAGTGAGATGGGAAGCCACCAGCAGGCTTTAAGCACAAGAGTGGCATGAGACGACTTGGATGAATAGGGTCTCTATTGTTACTATGTGAAAACCAAACCATCGTGCTTTGTAACCATCCTCATTTTTTTACTTTTAATACATCACCTGTGTTGAATCACATGGTTCTGTCTTGTGGACAATATCTGAAATGATGTAATGCATTGTCACTTTGAAGGAATTAGTGACTAAAAACAAACCTATGAATTATCTGCAAAATAAAACAGCCATTTGTGTGTGTGCCAAGTACAGCAAAGCTTGTGTGGCCTCAAGGAATGCAGCATGCTGTCTTCTGATTAACTGATGGGGAAACAAATGAGAGGCAACTGTCAATCATATTGTCTTATCATTCAATCCCCTGTCTCATTAAACAAAGTATATAACACATAATTAAGGTTGTTTTGATAATAATATCTTCTTCATACCTCAAGTCATTACTGTATATCCTTAAAGCAGGGACAGTGCTTGTGTTGGGATGATGAAAAGATAGGCAGGAGGGAAATTCCAGGAAGCAAGGACCACGGAGGGAGATGACCAGGAAGGCATCACAAATACACGTCACAATTCTCTGTTGCAATCACTACTTTGAGCTGAATAAGTGAGTTCTTGGGCTCTGTGAAAATGAGAAGAGACGCTGTCACATAGAGGTACCCAGACTCAGATCCTCGGCCAGCATCACTGAGGAAGGGGAGGGGAGACCCTCCGGACTCTTCTTATAGACCCATCCTTTTGTAAATTGGCTCACGTGTCAGCCTGTACCATTTGACCTGTGCAACTCATACGGTTTGTTTCTGTGATCATCCTTGTCCCTGGGCACACTCGCAAAATAAACTTGTTCCCAGGGAAAGGTTTTTGACCATTGGCCAAATCAACCCACAAACACAGGTTAATCTTTCTTCAACTCCTGTTATTTTAATAATTTAACTCTTGTCAGAGAGGGCTGTCTGACCTGTAAGTCTTTGAAATGTTGGGGTTCTTTCCAAGTGGTTGAGTTGCTCCTTTGCTCTCTGCCATCCCCCAGCAGGGAGCTGTGGAGCCCTGGGATTTAGACACCAAATGATATTCCTAAACTCAGGAGCCACATCCTAAGCAGCACAGTCAGTTTATCTCCTCAGCCTTTTAGGAGCAATAGGTGCAATCACACGAGCTGAGCCTTGTGCAGTTAATCACATGGAAGGGAAGGGAAGCATCTCAGTGACAAGCTATATATGCATTTACACATTGTTCAGTAATAAGCCAACCCCTCTGTCAATTTAAGGTATCTGGGCAGTCAAGCTGGATGAGTACGCATTGAAACAGGCCTGGATGTGAGGCAAAAATATCAACTGTATTGTTCACCACACTACCACCAGCCATCACTGATACATGCCGTCTGCTGGGCCAGGCAGAGTGATGGCTTTCACTGAGCTGCACAAGCAATCCACCATCTGTCAGCCTCTGTTCCCTGAAACACGAATCTTGCCAGGAATACTGAGAAGCAAATACTTGTTCAAGGTTATCTTTTGTGATTTTTCTACTCTATTGTTCTGGAATTTTTAGCTAGAAATGAAGGAATGGAGAAAGCTTCCCTTCCTGGAGACCTGTGGAAATACTTTATGGATTGACTCAGTCCCTGACCAGGGGAAGAAGCAATGCACAGTGTCATTGTCCAGGGGTATTTCAGCTACTCTATCAATGCTTTCATTTTTATTCTTAAACTTTCTTCATTCAACTTCCCAACCATGTAAATTAATTATGATTTTAGGGTCAGGCAGTAGGGGAAGGACATTAATGATCATAATGGACTATAGAAACAGTGAAGTGGTATAGATAGTACTATTGCTGACTTTATCCTGCCTTTCTGAAGCGCAGGAAGAAATTAAAGTTTCATGGGTTTCCTAGACTCTAAAATCAAACTGAAGGCATTAGCTGTTAAATGACCTTGTTTACTATTTCCCCCCAGTAGAATGTAAGCACAAAGAAGGTAAGGATTTTTACCTCTTTTTACTCGTTGCTACATTCACAACTCTGAAAACAGAGGCTTGCTAAATATTAGTTGAATGAATGAAAGCAATTCAGGCATGTTCAATACACCCCGAGTCATGATGGAGATTCCACATAAAGCCTACTAATTTGGGATAAGAGTTCTTTTGGTCTCAAGCCTGAGTTAGCCCAGGTATGATCCAAAACAAAGTACTTAATGTCTCCAAGCCTTAATTTCTTCATCTTTCAAATGGGTAGAACAATACCTACCCTATAAAATCCACAGCATTATTTATAGGATAAAATAAAACAGTATTTTAAAGAAATAAACCTTAGTTTATGAGTTTTTCAGCTGTGAAAATATTCTAAAAAGATAAGGAACTACACAAGCACAAGGTATTGTTATTATTAGTATTATTAAAATAGCTATTCCCTCGTAATGAGCCATGGCCTGGGTACCCCAGTCAGAGCTTATCTTCCTTAGCTCTCTTTTGATTTCCTTGCCTTTCCAATTCACTTCCTACTTTCTCTTGCATTGATACCTTATACTTTCATATTTGCACCATGGCCATTCATTCATTTATTCAACAGACTCTGCTGGAGCCCCTGCTTAGAGATAGAAAGGTAAGAAGTTACAGACCTCCTGAGGGCACAGTGATGGGAGAGTGAGAGAATGCCACCCGCACTGGGGAAGATGCCCACCTCCTGGTATATATCCTTTACTTTTCAATAGCTAAGCATGGGGACACTGACAGTGGGCTCGAATGAAAACAAAAAGCACAAGAAACCATGCAATAAAATACCTGAGAGGATACTTTGACATCTGTGCACATTTCCTTCTTACTGTGCAGATCTTCTGCACTAAATAATATTACATCTGTTTCTAAAAGTTAAAGAGATTTTTACCAAGTTACTTCTAAACATAGAATCTCTATGATCTGAAAGACTGATGTGGTTCATTAAATCATAGTCCTTAGAGATATCGTACTGCTTGCTCCTGTTTACTAAATATTTTCTATATGGAAAGTGCCATACAATATGTATTTATTTACATTATATAATCACAAAAAGACAGGAAAACAGGCCCTGAGAAAAAATGCCAGTTGTCACTTACTATCTGTATGACCTCTCTCACTGTGGCTTACTTCCTCATTTTTAAAGTAGGTATTATAACAAAACATCTACCTTAAGAATGTTTTGGAGATTAAATTAAGGAACACGTGTCAAGCAGCTAAATGTATAAGACTCATTACAAATCCCAGAAAAGGGTAAGAACTGGGGAAGGGTGGCTCTCCTCCTTAAATAACCTTGCCACCAATTCTCCTCATGACAAGTATGTATTGTTAGATTTTATAGGCAAGAATTTGAAGCCACAGTTGTTACATAGCACAGTAAGTAATGTAGCATGAATTCAGATCAACACCGTCTGACTTCATGACTCAGGTTAATTGAACTATTAGAGCCTAGATAGTCCCTGAAATATCCTTCCACAATAAATTATATTCATAACTATTAAGTCAATTCAACAGACATTTATCTAACATGTGAAACAGAGTTCTGTATGGTTGCAAGATCATTGCCCCCAAATATCTTGCTCATATTGGGATAAAAGGATAAAGCAGGGAGGTTGGAAGAAGATTAAAATGTTAAAAAAAAATGAGAGGAATATTCTGATGTTATATTCACAGACCCTGAGTTGAATTTGTTGAATTTAAAAGGTTGATGAAAAAATGATTCTAGTCAAATCAGGATGTGCTGAGTAGAATAAACAGACAAGTCCAGTGCCCCTGGATAGAGTGGGAGAGAGAATAATTTCAGCGTTTCACTTGGGCTTGGGCGGGGAAGGGTTGGATAATGAATCAAAGGATATCAGTGGAGAAGGTAATATTTATACTGGCCCATGAAGATTGACATGATTTTGAAGAATTTGTAGCATGAGACAAATAGTGCATAACAAATGGAGGAAACAATCTGAGCAGAGATCAAGAGGCTAAAAAGCAAAGAAGTTTTGACTCTTGAACAACATGGTGGTTAGGGGCACCAATCTGCTGTGCAGTTGAAAATCCACTGTATAACTTTTGATTCTCCCAAAACTTAACTACTAATAGCCTACTGTTGAGTGGAAGCCTTACCAATAATATAAACAGTCGATTAACACATATTTTCTGTTATGTGTATTATATACCATATTTTTACAATAAAGTAATCTAGAGAAAAGAAAATGCTTTTTCCAACTATCACAAATCTCCAAAAACATTTCCTATACACTTACTGAAAAAAATCTGTGTATATGTAGACCTGCACAATTCAAACCTGTATTGTTTGAGGGTCAACTGTACACGTTCAGAAAAGTTGTGTTCAGATGCTCAGAAAAGCTCAAGAATGAAGTGCTATAGGAAATAAGGGACAAAAGTTAGTTTGGCCTGGTATTAAAGCGGGTCTTGGTTCTGAGACTGAAGTTAAACTTATTCTTAGGCTTTAAGGGCTGGTGAGAAGAGAGGAATGCTGTGGATTTAGCCCTGGGAAGAAAGACCTGATGCCCCATGAGAAAGCGGCCAGGGAGTGGTGGAGATGGGAGCAAGGGAGTGGTTTATGAGGGAAGCCAAGTAGGTGTGATCTTGAGCTGCTCCAGTGGAGATTATTGAAGAAAAGACAGGATAGGACACTTAGCAAGAGTATCAGTAGAATATAGTGATTGGATAGAGGAATGAAGGGCAGAGAGGAATAGACAATGGCTACAGCTTTTAGATTCAGTAGTGGGAAGGATGATGTATCTTACTAAGAAAAGAGGCATGAGAAAGCAGGAATCTCTGTGACAGGATGCTAGTAAGAAGAAAAGAAGGGTCACAAAAGATCCCTCCTAGGATACACTGGGGTGAGATCATCAGAAGGCATCTGAATGCATATGCCCAACTAGCAGCAAGAGACAGAGGACTACATGCAAGCAGTGAGATGGAAGGCAGAGTTCAGCAGCTAAAGTCAACACTGTGGGAAAAGATAAGCTGAGAATAGAAACACATTACAGAGGGGTGTTGGCCCAATTGCTAGGAAGAGGCAGAGCAATTGGAAGACTGAAGAGAAGCCTCTAGGTGGGTACGTGAAACATGTCAGGGATGAAGGTTGAATTAAAAAATTCCTCCTATTGCATTAACTTAAGAGGAAAACAGCCAGTAAGTAAGAGTTCTAGAAGAATGCTGTAATTGCAAAAGAATGCCTCTGGGGATTAGCAAACAGTATTGGATGTCATCGTGTTTAATTCAAACAAATAATAGCATAAAGAAATTAAAATTAAAATGAACTGGTCAAATCATTCCATTGTTCTATTTGCCCCTCTTTCCCCATAGAAGCAGATTAATTTATGTGCTAAGTGTCTATTTACACAGTAACTTAATAACAACATGTTTTCACCAATATCCAAGTATCCACTGTAAAAACACCAAAAGAATAATCCTTAAATTTGCATTTTTTTCATAATCCTTGGAAACTGAGTGTTTATCCCATTGAATTTCAAAGAAATTGAAAGAGTAGAAAAGTTGGCAACTTGTCTGAAATAAGACTGCTTTTAAAAAAGAAAAGTTTCCCCAGAGAACATTTTAATACTATTGAGCATTTAGTAAGAAAAACTTGCAAAAATAACCAATAGCAGTGTAA